GTACAACATTTCCTTAAAAAGTGCTTTGCTAGGGGCACCTGGGTGGCTCAGTCTTTTAAGCATCTGCCTTCAGCTTCAGGTCATGATCCCGGGGTCCTGGGATGAAGTCCCTCAGCGGGGAGCCTGCTTCTCCCTCTGCCTGCCACTCCCCCTGCTCATGCTCTCTCTCTGTCAAATAAATAAATAAAAACCTTTAAAAAAGGGGGGGACTCCGCTATACTCTCTGGGATTTTCTCATTAGCTCCTGACACCTGTCCTGCAAAATTTGTTGCAGGTGCATTCTTGTTTGGCATGCGATAGTCAAAAGATCTAGCTTCCCATTCTTGTTTCATGTCTGCAATATAGTTCTTCCTCTCTGGAGCTAACCGGGGGTTTTAGACATTTATTTTGCTCCCTACTTTATCTCTCCAGGTGCCCTTTCTGTCTTGTCTTGATCTTTCTCTTTCGTGTTTGAGCCTTTCCTCAAACGTCTGGCGGCCTGTTGACATTGAAGAGGGGTGCTCACAAGCTCACAGCTGTGAGGGAGGGGGCTGGGATAGACCCTGCAGCTTGAGTGACCCACAGGTGTCAGTCCTGGTGGCCCTTCCTCTCAGCCCATTGTGTTCTCCTAGAGAGAACGCTGCTTCTCCTGCGTGGTGGCCGCCAGGTGCGGTGTGAGGGGGGCACGGGTCTCCCAGTCAGCAGGCAGATTTCCACACCAACCCCCTTCTGTTTCCAGTTCTGTGCTCCACCCCTGCCCTCAGCTACATTTGAGGAACCCAAGTCCACACTCTCTGCTCTTCTCCACGGTCAACTTTAAATCCCAGGCTGGAGAATCTGCTTTCTCTAAGGACTGCCAACCAATTTTCCTGTTTGTAGCCCACACATTGGCTCTGCTTCAGATCTCCCTGGGCTCTCCCACTGCTGGGCTCTGGGAGCTTGCAGCTGGCTTCTCGCTGACTTCTCCCTCAGCTCCCTCACCGGCACTTGGGGTCAGCCCTCGCTGCTCTGCCCCATTCATTTGCTCTCTGGCTTCCTGAATGTTGTAAGAATGCCTTGACTGTCTCCTTTCTTGTTCTCTTTGTCTTTGTAGATCTTTACTTTTTTAAATTCCTTGAGGGCGCCTGGGTGGCTCAGATGTTTAATCGTCTACCTTTGGCTGGGGTCATGATCTCCAGCCCTGGGTCCGGCTCCCAGCTCAGCAGGGAGTCTGCTTCTCCCTCTGTCTCTGCCCCTGCTTGTGCTCTTTCTCTCTCTCTCTCTATCAAATGAATAAATAAAATCTTTTAAAAAAAATTCCTTGACTCCCATTTTTGTTGAGTTCAGGAAGGAGCAAAAATAAACATTTGCTTAATCTACCATATTTTCATCTTAAAATTCTTTTTAATTTCTTTTCCTGATTCCCAAAATGAGGTGGTCAGTGCTTTGTGAAGAACACATACTGTGCCAGAAAGTGTACAATTAGAACTGCTTTTTTTTTTCTTTTAATGGAAGTATAGTTGACATACAATGTTAGGTTCATTTCAAGGGCATAACAAGAACTGCTCTTGAACTAACTAGAGGCTGGACAATGCCCCAAACCTCTGTTTCCTTCCTGGGGAAAGAGTGTCCACCTGGTAGACAGTCCCTCAGTGAGGTAATGGTTGGGAGGAGTTTATGCATCACAGGTTGGCCTGAATTTGCCCCCCAGCTTGGTCACATACTAAATGTGTACCCAAAGACGAGTGTCTTTACTGCTCCATTGGTACACTGTTTAAAATAATGCCTATCCCCAGGGCGCCTGGGTGGCTCAGTCGGTTAAGCGTCTGCCTTCGGCTCAGGTCATGATCTCAGGGTCCTGGGATCGAGTCCCATGTCGGGCTCCCTGCTCAGCAGGGGGTCTGCTTCTCCCTCCCCTTCTGCCCACCCCCTGCTGTGTTCTCTATCAAATGAATAAATAAAATCTTAAAAAAATAAAAAATAAAAAATAAAATAATGCCTATCCCAAAGGCTGCTGGGATGAATTGAGCTGGGGTGGGCAAAGCACTCCACGCAGACTGGGAATTCAGTCCATGCTGGGTTCCCCTCTTCCTCTGTTCAGACCAGGAAGGGCTTGCCTTAACAGTGTTGCTCCTCTCACCTGGGTTATCCACACGTGCCCACTCCCGGGCCCCAGAACGTGGTTCCGTGTTGCAGAGTCCTGCCTGCTTTTCCTGCCGTCCGCTCTGTGCCCCAGGCTTCTTGCCTCTCAGACCTTGTCAGGGGCTACCCTTTGTTGGGTGAATGGGATGACCTGCCTTCCCCTAAATCAGACAGGCCCCTCTAAAGACCAATTATCTCTCCAAATTGCTCCTGTTGGGATATTAGTCATGAGTAGAATCATATCTTTGAAATGTTCCAAATCTCTTTAAGGAAAAAGAAAAAGAAAAAGAAAAAAAAAACTCCATGGACTCTGGGCCTCCAGCTCGGGTGCAGAGGTCAGAAGGCTCCCGGTGGCTCAAGGAGGAAACGTTGGTGAACACCAGAGGGTTGGCACAGCCCACCGCACGGAGCCAGGGCAGAAGGAGAGGCAGTGTCCAGAGCCAGGGAGTGCCAGACTGCCAAGGACCTTCTCTGTGAGTGCAGAGGTGGGAGAAGCAGCAGACTGGGAAGCAGGCAGCAGAATTACTCCAAGAAGACCGCGGGTGGGAGGACAGACTGAGAAAATGAATCACATTGCTTTCACGGGACATGCAGCATTCCATCAGGTCAAACATCTTCACTTGCATCTTATAACCAAGATTCCTGCAAATGGAAGAACGCATCAGCCCTTCCCTCTCTGTTGCTTAGCAACGGCTTCTTTCTCCCTCCCCTCGGATCCCAAGGGGCCCTCTGCACTGGGTGGTGGGGAGGGGGTGGAGGTAAGATAATTACCTGGTCTGCATAATAATAAGACATTCTGGCTTCTTCCAGCAGGAAGTGCTTGCCTTGCAAGTGAATAAGGCACTTAAGAAACATTTCTTTTCCTCATTTGGGGTTTTATTGTGTACTGTCATCAAGAATTAATATTTACCTATGAGAGGTGTCTATTGGCACGTATGGGTATTTCCAGTCGTCTGGTGGATAATTGGGGGAATAAAAAGCATACCCGCAACTCACACTCAGACTCAGAACATGGGCTTCTGCTTTGGAGATTGGAACAGAAAAGCCTTTTCCTGAATTTCCCTGTGCCACTCCGGTGTCTCTGAGAGTCAGAGCCCCCGAGAGCGTCCATCCTGGTGGAAGAGCAAGTGACAGCCCGGGGCCTCTGAGGAGAGGCACCAAGACAAGATTAATGGTGCAAAGATCTTATTTGGGGAAACACCTAAGGGAGGGAAAATAGGAAGGGAGCCAGGAGAGCCATCGGAGGAAATTCAAGGTTGACTCTGAGTGAAAGAGAGAGGGAGGCAAGACTGAAGCATCCTAGCCTGTCCTGGAGTTTAAGGAAGGTTCTAAAGGGCCACACAAAATTTCTCAGAGGAGTCCCCTCTGCCAGTAGTGGCCTTCCCGGTGGGCGCTGTGCTCTTGTCAGTGGGACTGGCACACCCCTTCTCCCTGACCTTGGAGGTCTGCAGGCTGCTTTCTCAAGGCCCTCACACCAAGACTTGAGGAAATGCACTGCTCTGGGGGCAAACCGGGTGTGGGGAGGTTATCCTGTGGGTGGGGTTGGGATCCCTGGAAAAGCAGGTAGAGGACCACACAGCCAAGGATTGAGAAAGGAGTTACTTTTGGAGAAAGGGGTGAACCTAGGGACAGAGCAGCGAGGGTGGGAACTGGCATGCCCACAGGAGACCTTCTGTGAAGGGGAAAAGTCATATTTAGCATGAGCTTTGAATCTCCTCTTGTTCTTTTCCCGTGGTGTTGCTCCCTAGACTAGGTCTCTTACCATCGAACTTCACCTGGGAAATGCTATACTATAAGCTGCTATTCTTCTCTATTTACTGTAACAACTGATTATACTTAGATGTGTTTGAAAAGAGCATTTCCTTTTTCCATGTGATTATGCATTCATTTCCACTTTATCCTCCCTATGAAAATCACGATGCATTAACTCTGTTGTATAATTGAGGGGTGTCAGAATCACGGGCCTGTGGCCTCCAGACTGTGGGGCTGCTCTCCAGTGTCTTCTGTTCTTCTAATCACTGAGACTTGAGTAAAGTCTGAAACCTCATACCATCTAGCGTGGTGTTGATTGAAGAAGAAGGGGGCAGACAGTGAAGGGATGTGTGGCCTGCCCATATCCTGCACAAACCTCCCCAACCACTCCATAGAAACAAAGTGACAGCTCATCAAGGAGACTGTTTTTGGATGCTCCTGGGCGTGACCAGCAGTGAAGTGAGTGGCGGTCCATGGAGGACACCATGACAAGGAGGAACAGTCAGAGAGCATCTCAAGAGGGGTAAGATAAGAGCTCCACTCCCTCAGGATAGACTAGAGGGAGGCGGGCCCTAGGGTTTGGGGTGGGAAGGAGGAAAGAAAAGTGATGCTTGGGGTTTGTTGGCTTTCATGAGTGTTTACTCAATGCCAAGTGCATCACATACATTATCTCACTCCCCACCACAGACCCCACAGGGTGAGGATCTAGGAATTTGCCCCCAGGTGACAGTTGGGAATGCAGGGGGTTGCTCCCAGTCTGTTCTGTAAAGTCCCTGCTACGAAGCTCTACATTGTACTGGGACCAGGGAGACGCATGAATGGTCAAGAGATGGTCAGGGCAGCCTGACCTTTTGTGGTCACTGAGTCAGTCACTGAGAAGAAAAACTTTGGAGGGTCTGCTTGGGGAGCCCCAATGCCCACATCTGGGGGCACTAGCCTATGTGGATATGAGTGCAACCTCATGCGTTTGACTTGGGACACTGTCAGGTTGAGCAAACTGGCCTTCTGGTTCCAAGCCACCACTCCATAAACAAATTTTTCCTAATTAGCCCTGGCAACTCAACACCTCTGGTGTATCTAGCTCATTCCACTGCCACGCCTACTCTTGTTGAATCCAGTTCTAAAGTAAACTATGTTCTTTGAGAGCTGTTGCATACAGATGAGTTGGTAGCCGGTCTGAGCTGACCCACAAACTCATAAAAACCAACAGGGTCTCAGCACCGTCACCTGGGATACCCAAACTCTTGGACCAGAGGTGCAAGGTCTTGCCCACATCAAGGATCCAGCTGCTTTCTTGGGGACCAAGAAATTGAGTTTTTGTCTCTACACTTACTCTGGCAATCCATGAGGTAAGGGGGAGAAATGCCGCATGGTCTCTTTGTAGAAAAAAGAAGTTAATTTTGGGGGAAATTCAACCCTCTTTTCCGTACCTCAAGTCTAGACAGACTATCCACCACTCCTGGGGGGTTAGAAGTGTGTTTTTAACTTGCTTGCTTGATGCTCTCGATCTGCTGATCATACATGGATTACAAGCTGTGAGCTTCATCCCACCATCCCTTGGCCATTTCTCAGCCCAGAGCTGGAGCACTACGGAGCCCTCGGGTCCCACTGTGCCTGGTTCCATGGTCTCCCCTTCTTGGTAGCAGAGATATGTGCAGGGATCCTCTCCCTGATAGCATCCTTCCCATGGTGGCAGGGCCTTGCATAATAGCAAGACCTCCCACAGAGCTTCTCCATCATGAAGGCAGGGATAAAATGCTAATAAGGTCTATTATGGAAAAGGCGCAAGGCTTATCTGGGTGAATTGTGTTGGGGTAAGACATTTTGCTTACCTTCCCCCAAATGCCTCTCCTTCCTTTGATGAAACATTGCCTGATTGTGAATGAATGCATTTGGATTTCTCAGCATTTGCTCAGCTCCCTAAGTTTCTGCTGTGACAAATGCTCTGTAGCAGGGGGTGGTAACCATTTCCCGTGTGCTCTACTTTATATGAGCCGAGGAGTGAACAGGCATGGAGCCCCCTTCTCCCAACATCTCTGTCGCATAGATTCTAGGCAGAGTTGCTCGAAAAAAGTTTGTCTTTTGCAATAGGCAAGCTTTGGGGATATAATTTTCTTTTTCTTTAGTTGGGCGTACAGAATAGAGCAAAACATGGTGATTGTGGTAAGGAGGCCATTTTAGACGAGAATTTATCCAGGTCTGCCAGTGGGAGCCCTTCAGTCATGGGCTTGGCTGGCTTGTCTTGCTCTACACTGTTTTGTGACAGTGTTAGCCTTACCCAGTCAGCTTCAATTTTTCAAAGCAGAGTGAGGTAGGGGTATCTGAGAAGGTGTGAGCCATCAGAAAAAAAAAACCTTTTTTTTAAATACTTCAAGGCATGAAGATGGGTTTTCTTCTGTGTAAGGAAGCACTCCAAGTCTGTTTAGGGGCAGGGCTGGACTTGTCAGAAGCACAGTGGGGATTCCTTGTGAATGGTTCTTGGAGCTTTAGTGGTGTTTGGTTTCCTCTGATTTTTTTTTTAATTTAATATATAAGATACTGTAATTGCCAAGAATGCTTTGCTCTGCAGAGCCAAAACTCAGAATTTCTCATGCATGTCACTTTCCTGTTCTCAACAATTCATTTTTCTATGCTAGGTTACAAATCTACCCTGGACCTTTTTACAGCTCAGTGATTTTCCAAAGATTCAGCTTTGACTCCCATGCTTTGCCTTTTACCTGCCCTGTGACTTCTGTGGATTCAATGCTTCCTAATTCCTTCTCGTCAAGTTTCCACCAGGATCGCTTATCTGTCTCAGCAGGTTGACCCTGAGTTTGACCCAAACCTCACCCCTCTTGCTTCTACCGTTTAAGATACTAATGATGACTATTGCCTTTCTTCTCTTTGATATTGTCCTCATTAATACTATTATTATTACACATACAGGTTTTTTTCCTCATTTGTCTTTCAACAAGCTTATAATGAGCCCCCATGATGTTGTGGGAACTGTGCTAGGTCCTGGGAAATTACTGAACAGCCCCGGTTCTCACGGCACTTACAGTTGAGGGGGTACATACATGGGAACAGGTGATTACGCTCCAGCAGGATACACACGATGATGAATGGGGACTGCTACACAGTAATGTAGTCATGATATAATCACTGCATGCACAGGAAGGACATCCTACTTTGCCTGAAGAAGTCCTTATGGAGGCATGATCCTTAACTCCCTTGGTAAGTAGGATGGGGCCTGCTGGGGGCAGGAGGAAAGGCATTCCAGAACAAGAAAATAACACTTACAAAAATGCAGAGTCAAGAGAGAGCATACGAGCAGCAGATACAAGGAATACCAAGCTGGCGTGGTGGGGTGGGGGTGGCATGGGGAGGGGTGAGGAAAGATGACACAGGAGAAGCTGCAGAGAGAGTACGCGTGAGAAGGGACCTTGTGTGGGGTGCTGAGGAGCTCGGGCAGTATCTTGAAGGTTGTGGGAGACCATGTAAGATGATATTTACATTTTAGAAAGGTTGCTTTTTTTACAGAGTGCAAGGTGGATTGGGGTGGGGTAAGCCCAGTGCCAGGGAAACCATTAGGAGATTCCTATGAGGCAGAACCCACAAGATCTAGTGGCAGATTGGCTGCTAGGACCAAATGTAGCTCTGAAATAGGAACCTGAGAGTCAGCTGGTCTCGTTTGGGAAATTTCCCCAAAGTCCAAATGATGACCAAACTGAATGGAAAAGAGCATTTTCTTTACATTTGCCTTCACACATCCACTATGGCCTCTCGGGTGCAGAGATATGAATTAATGATCCCCGGATGTTATGGGGAGTCAGTGACTGTGTAGGGCAGATGCAGTGGTCATTTGCTTTTTCTGCTCCACTGAAATGCATGCCTGTCTGGGGAGAAGAACAGTTTTCAGCAGACTGAGCCTGCATCTCTTTTCCCCCCTGAGTACCTATGCCTCCGATGAGGCATTGCCCTGCTGAACCCCAGTGTTGCCCCTTAGAAGGTCGGGCAGAAAATGTGTCACTCCTTATTTTGGAAGCTTGAAGTTGGGACGATATCAGAAATAACAACAGAACTGCTGAAAGTTAGAAGCCCTTGATCTACCATTAATTGTCCAAATGTATTCCCACTTGAAAGGAATCAGATACTAAGCTGTCTTTCCTGAGGATTATTCCTGAGAGTGAATGCTATTTTCAGTCCCATTTTGCAGGAAGGTAAAGAGGGGAAGGGAACTTAGTGTCTTCTGAGTGTTTCCCAGCATGGTCACATGGAACATGATGACATTTGTAAGATGTGTTGGTGTTAGGGGAGAAGCTGCTGTAGCTGGAAGCTGCGACCTCAGGCCTAGACACTCGTTTCAGGTCCAGTGTGGCCTCAAGGGCCAGGGGTCAATGTCTTGGTGCTCATGACACCTACAGGCACACTGAAAAGCTCAGGACTGAGTAACCAGAGCCTAGTCACAGGGGCACTAAGTAGCAGAGCTATAGCTAGTATTGGCCACATAGCCCTCCTCCTTTCGCTTGGCAGATGGGTGACAGGCCTTGAAATATTAAGCAAGGTCTCAAGGTTCATAGTATCTGGAAAAATCAGCACTGTGGGGTTTAAGTCCTGATCTACTTTAGGCTAGCTACTTTAAGGCAACTCTAGAACTTTCTCCCTAGAGCTAAGTCCTGGGGTCCTGACAGGGACTCAAAGAGATTCCAGCTTAGTTTTCATTGGGCCCAAGAAGAAGAATATTCCAGAATGTGTGTTGTATTGCTAGTTCAAGTCACTATGGAATGAATTTATTGGCTCAGAAACCAAAGTTTGCCCAATAATTAATTGAGGATAGTTGAATATAGTAATTAGTTTTAAAGACTTCTGCTTAGTACCTTCTCTTTTTCCCATACCAGTTGGGCATTTTCAGAGGGGGAAATGATGGTCAGCTTGTTAAGGGGTTTGAGGGGAAGCCCAAAGGGACCATCTATCTTCATCTCCAGGCCAGTAAAATTATTCCAATTTTATAGGTTGAAAAAAGACAGCACTGGACTATGTTGAGTTAGCCTAAGCCACAATGTAAGAGGAAAGGATATAGATCTTCCCAGTCTGCTTTGTCTTTTGGGATCTATAAGATTCATGAATAATATTAGCTCTGCTCTAGATAGCAAAAAGTGGTTGACTTGATTGTGTAGTTCATAATCTTCATGAACAAGCCAGGAGTGTGTGGAAATTGGAAAAACAAAATGGGATAAAACCGAACCAAGAAACATCTTCAAAGAGAGAAAGAGAGAAAGAAAGAAAGAAGAAAGAAAGAAAGAAAGAAAGAAAGAAAGAAAGAGAAAGAAAGAAAGGAAGGAAGGAAGGAAGGAAAAGGATGAAGGAAAAATTAGTGTGGAGAAATATAGGAGGTAGACACCTAGAAAAGTCAACATAAACGGAAAATAACCTTAAGGTCAAAGGGCTCATAGGAAAGTCCATTCTAGGCTCCAGATGGAATGATCCTAAGCCATCTTTACTGAGCTTATTATGAAGAATGTCCAGAGAAAGTGTCCCTGTCCTTGCTGTTGCCTTGTCAGAATCTGTGAGCAGATAAAGAGAACATGGCCCTTACACATTAAACTCTCTGGTTCTGTTTGAGGAATAACAACAACAACAAAAAAAACCACCCAAAATAATGCAGAGACTGGGCAACTTCAAGATTATTGAGAGTCCACAGATGTTCGACCCCAAGTAGTTGCTCCTGGAAACTCTTATTAAAGACTCAAGCTGTGAATATAAAATTCAACCCAATAGCATCACATTAAAAAACAGAACGTTGGAACTAACTTTAAACAATCGTTCTAAAGATTCATAAAGTCCAGCTCACCCATTGTGCAAAAGGAGAAACTAAGGTCTAGAGGAGTGAATTGACTTGCTCAAAGTCCCAAGGAAAAATACCAATCTGAATTCACCCAATGTTGTTTTGGGTCAATAGCTTTCTCCCTCAAAGAAGTCTGTTGTTATTTTCCTAAAATGAATGGTTCCCGGGATGTAACAGTCTGCCTCAGTGCGCATGCGTGCATATTATGTCCTAGAGTTATTAAGCCTTGTAAATTTTGCATTCTTCTTAGACACATCACCCCCTTATGCTTCTAAGAGAAGATTCTTCTTGAATACTCTATGAGGTACAAGCCAGAAATTTCCATTTATTTAGAATTTCCCCATGTCCACCACCCTACCTCCCTTGCAATTACACAAACACCATTGTTTCTTGGCTTGCATTCAGGAATTGTATTTAACAATGTGTATCAATGTGGCACCATATCCCCAGGGAGCAGATTTAAATATGCAACACAATGTGATTGAAAGCAACAGGTTAATACTGTCTTTGCACTTAGAACAACCA